ACAGGCTCCAGCTGTTCCTCTGCCTCACTGCTGTCTAGCTCCATAGGGAGCTGATAACTGTCACAGGGCCCTGGCCCCCTCTCTGCCTCCGACACAGAGCCCTCATCCGAGCCTTCCCCAGACTCCAGGACTGGCCCAGGTTCCTTCCCAACCCTCCTCACTGTCCGAATCTGCTGCCAGCTGTGCTGGCGGGCCACGACAGAAAATAGAAAAACGGAGCAAAGGAAAGGAGAGGTTTTCATGGAGGAAGGGCAGGCTGAAAACAAACAGGAAGAAGGGAAGGTTGAAATCAAGACATCACCTTCTGGATCTAGGGGGTCTTCCGTCCCCGCAAGTTGTCCTACCGGCGGTGGCCAGGGCAATACTTTATTCTCCTTTATGTCTACTGCAAGGGGAAAGGGGATGCCATGGAGATGGGTTGGGAGAGTTTGTAGAGAAAGGGACAGAAGAGCACGGAAAGGAAGGAGAGAGAAGATGACGGGAGGGATGGGAAGAGGAGGAAGAAGAAGAAGACAAAACCAGCATGATAAAAAGGAAATGATCGAACCAGACAGACAGATAGACAGACACGGGAAGACCGGAGGAAGTCCCCTACTTCAACCTAAGTCCCTCGAGTGACGACGGCAAATCGTTGCAACTCCTATCTTCCCCACCAAATGCATTGCCGATAGAAATGTGGGGGTCAACATTTTGAGACACTTACCTTGTCCATCCTATCCTGTATTGATATACAGTCCAATGAAACCTCATTTAACAGACTAAAGAGGTGCCTGTTATTCCCAAGTGTCCACTGAACACAAAAGTACATCACGCTCGCGTTGCGACAAAGATTCGTGTCTTTGGGGTTGATATCAATAACAATAACTGGGTGGGAAGGGATCTTGGAGGCTTTTAGTCTAACCCCCTGCTCAGGCAGGAAACCCTATCACAGTGATGGCCAAGCTTTTTGGCGGGAGCGTGTGTGTGCGCTCTCGGCAAGACTACAATCCCAAAGGAGTTCCTGTTTCCGGTACGCGCATGCACGCCAGCCAGCTAGTCTCCCAGTTAATGAAGGGCATTTGTGTGTGACGATCAGGGGTGGGTTCCTGCCAGTTCTAACCTCTTCTATAGAAGAGGTTCCACAAATCTACCGTGCCATTTAGAACCGGTTCCAGCTCCCTCTCCCAACCCACCCGTCCGCACATCATCAAGATGAAGAGCCAGAGGAGGAATTCTGGGAGTTGAAGTCCACAA